GTGAAATTGCGACCTAGAAAATGTACAGAGAACCTTCACGGCGCGCATTACGGAGATAAAACACCTCAATTACTGGGAGCGCTTGAGGTTCTAAACCTGTATTCCCTGGAATGCAGGAGGGAGAGATACATGATTATATACACCTGGAAAATCCTAGAGGGACTAGTACCGAACTTGCACACGAAAATCACTCACTACGAAAGCAAAAGACTTGGCAGACGATGCACCATCCCCAAATGAAAAGCAGGGGTGTCACTAGCACGTTAAGAGACCATACAATAAGTGTCAGGGGCCCGAGACTGTTCAACTGCCTCCCAGCATACATAACGGGGATTACCAACAGACCCTGGCAGTCTTCAAGCTGGCACTGGACAAGCACCTAAAGTCGTTCCTGACCAGCCGGGCTGTGGCTCGTACGTTGGTTTGCGTGCAGCCAGCAGCAACAGCCTGGTTGATCAGGCTCTGATCCACCAGGAGGCCTGGTCACAGACCGGGCCGCGGGGCGTTGACCCCCGGAACTCTCTCCAGGTAAACTCCAGGTAACTCCACTATCAAGTAGTCGTGTTGATGAGGTTGTGTCTTTAATGGTGACATACTGATATCTATTAGTAAGGTAAAATTTGAAATATGCAAGTGCATCGCCTCTTATACCATAATGGTCAAGTTTGTGGAGTAGGATGCCGTGATCTACTGTGTCAAAAGCTTTTCTTAGGTCAATAAAAAGACCTAATGGATATTCTGTATTTTCCAGTGCTGTGTAAAGCAGATCTAGCATTTTTACAATTGCATTATTAATGCTTTTATTTTTTCTGAAGCCAAATTGGCAGGGTTGACTATGTTTTGTGCTGTTATAAGCGAATATAATCTCTTGTGCTCGAGTTTCCCAAAGATTTTGGATAACAATTGTAAGTTTGATATTGGCCTATAGTTGTTTACATCTTTGGGGTCACCACCTTTATGTATTGGTGTAACCCTTGCTGTCTTGAGTAGTGTCAGGAAAGTGCTAGTTTCTAGTGACTAGTTAAAAAGTAATGAAATAAAATGAGAAAGGACATGGGCCGCTCACTTGTACGAAAATGGCTGGACGTGAGACAGATTCCCTGAATTATTTTTAAGTGACTTAATAATCGTGGTGACTTCAGTGTGCTCAGTAGGTGCAAGATAGAAGGAGTTTGGGAAATTCCCATCTAAGTAATCATTTGCAAGGGCGTTGGTACCTGGGATTTTACTGGCGAGATTAGATCCTATGGTTGAGAAGTCGTTTATCTTGTTAACTGTATCAATGGGATGCAGTGGTGTTTCGTTTGGTTTAGTTAGGACAATATTCTTGGTTTTTTTTCAGTTTGTGAGTGCCCAGAATCTGAGAGAGTGTTTTCCAGGTATTTTTTATATCTCCACTTTTTCCCTTGGAGCCCCCCATGTCTCCTTTCGAAACTGATGTGCCTCTGCACCCTGTAATAGGGAATACCACACATCAGTTGTCAGATGATGACTCTAATGCATCTGTTGATATTACCACCTCCAGTGATGACGGTAACATGGTCAGTATGCAGGAAACTACTTGCTGAGTCGAGTAGGGAGAGTTTGCATTCCAGTTGTGACCATACTTGCAGACGTGATTACAATTTTCCAACTTAATGTTCAACGTTTCTTTGATAACCGGTACCTCCTCGAAGATGAACTACATAATTACCACCCTGACATCATCCTCCTGAATGAGGCAGCTGCGAGAGCAGATCAGCATATCAACTTACGTGGGTACTCTATTGTAGAGAAATCGAGAGGACCTCATAGTGGAGTTGCCGTCCTAGTTAAACTAGGTTATATGTTCCATAATGTTCATGTTGACGAGGATAACATTATTGCAATTTAGCTGACGACCTCTTATGGTCAGCTACTTATAGGAACTGGGTATTTTCCTCCGAGACAACCATGTATAGAGTCCATTCCCCTCCATCGGATCTTGAGTAGAAATATTCCTACAGTTTTGGCAGGAGATTTTGATGCCCATCATCCTGCACTCTTTAACTGCGGAGCTGATAATCCGTTGGGTAACTTAAAGGGAAATCACTTATTTAATGTCATGAAAACCAGAAATCTGTCGTTTCAAGGCCCATTCTTTAAGTCGTATGTAGGACCTCATCCGGGGACACCAGATATAGTCTTGACCAACAGAGACTGTGACGTATTCCAGGTCACAAGTTCCTTTTGAGATTGACAGTGGGGCGTCTATCTGGACATTATCCGAAGAATGGGTCGAGACATTCAAAGGATATTGGACCATGTTCTAGGAAGGTAACTGCATATGGTAATTTGAAAATAAATCTCTTGGGAAAGGTTGATTTCCGGGACACTATAATAACTTAGAGATATCTCAAGTGTTAAATATAGTGAAGTCAAATAATAGTAAATTGTGTGGAAAAGATCTCATGAAAGAGGTAGGGATTTACCTTGCTGGATTAGATGAATCTACTTAAATTAATAAACTACCCAAACTAAGGGTCGGCACTCCAAATGAATTCTTTATGAATGAGACCCAAAATCTGGTCATCTCAAAAATAATATACTAACACCACAAGACTTTGGAAAAGCAATAAATGACACACCTATGCACTCTGCCTCAGGCCTAGACTCATGGAACTCCGTGTTCATCAAAAACTACAAGAAGCTCCTGTTACGTGCCTTCAGCATTCTATAGAGAGGGAGCATGGACACAGGGGTCATCCCACAATCACTAAAAACAACAGACATAGCCCCACTCTACAAAGGTGGCAGCTAAGTAATTAAAAAGAACTGCAGATCGACAGCACTAACATCCCATATCACAAAAATCTTTGAAAGGGTTCTAAGAAGCAAGATCCCAAACCACCTAAACACCCATCAGTTACACAACCCAGGGCAACATGGGTTTAGAGCAGGTTGCTCCTGCCTGTCCCAGCTACTGGACCATTATGACAAGGTCCTGGATGCTGTTGAGGATTAACAAAATGCAGAGTAATATACACAGGCTTTGCAAAAGCCTTCCACAAGTTTGACCATAGTGTAAGAGTGCACAAAATGCGAGAGAAAGGAATAACAGGAAAAGTTGGTAGATGGATCTATAACTTCCTGACAAATAGAACATAAAGAGTAATAGTAAACAGAGTTAAGTCCGAGGCATCTACAGTGAAAAGCTCTGTTCCACAAGGCACAGTATTTGCTCCTATCCTATTCCTCATCCTCATATCTGACTTAGGCAGAAATGTAAGTCATAGCTCCGTGTCTTCCTTTGTGAATGACACCCGAATTGTCATGACAGTGACCTCCATCGAAGACACCGCGAGACTCCAAGCGGACATCAACCAAATCTTAAAATGGGCCACTCAAAACAATATGAAGTTCAATGAAGAGAAATTTCAACTACTCAGATATGCAACACCTGCCGTATCAGGGCATACAACAGTTTCTAACCATACCATAGAGCGAAAAAGTAATGTGAAAGACCTGGGAGTGATAATGTCAGAGGATCTCACCTTCAAAGACCACAACAACGTATCTACTGCATCTGCTATGAAGATGATAGGATGGATAATGAGAACCTTCAAAACTAGGGATGCCAAGCCCATGATGATTCTCTTCAAATCGCTTGTGCTCTCTAGGCTGGAATATTGCTGTACATTAACTGCCCCCTTCAAGGCAGGCGAAATTGTTGAACTGCAGAGTGTACATAGAACTTTCACGGAACACGTAAGTACGATAAGGTACGTAAGTTACTGTGAATGGTTGAAGTCCCTTGATTTGCATTCCCTGGAATGCAAACGAGAGTGATACAAGATAATATTCACTTGCAAAATCATAGAGGGATTAGTACCAAACTTGCATACGAAAATCACTCCCTATGAAAGCAAAAGACTCGGCAGGAGATGCTACATTCCCTCAGTGAAAATCAGGGACGCCACGAGTACACTGAGAGACAACACGATGTGTCAGGGGCCCAAGACTGTTCAACTTCCTCCCAGCATACATAAGGGGGATTACCAATAGACTCCTGGCTGTCTCCAAAAAGGCACTGGACAGGCACCTAAAGTCAGTACCTGACCAGCCGGGCTGTGGTTCGTACGTCAGTTTGCGTGCGGCCAGCAGTAACAGACTGGTTGATCAGACCCATACCACGAGGCCTGGCCTCAGACCATTTGTCTCCAGGTAAATATGTATGCATGTAAATAGTAACTAGGACACACCTTTATTGAATGTTGAAAGTCAATCAGAATGGGCATTCATAATAAATGACAAAGAAACGAAATTTCACTAATTGGCTATGTATCTTCGATGATAAAGCACTTGAACGCCCAAATAGTTGCTTGGATCCTGTCCTTGGTACAGTAAACCAGTGTTCAAAATTTGTAGGCAGTCGAATGAAGTATTTTAAACTCCTAAAGCAAAGTTTGGAGAAGAGAATCAGGAACCATGTGAAGGTGTGTCTTCGGGGATAATTAAGTCAGCGGTTGAAAACAGGAGACAACAATTGGTACTGCACTGACGAACCTTACCTAACCTAACTGAGTAAATATGTGAACGGGTTCATTAACAGTAAAAGATCAACAATAATACCATCTAATTATCTAATAGAAGAAAAGACATTTAGATATCTGCGGGTAACCACAGGTAGGCGAGGCGAATTAAAAGAGGACTGGAAGCGTGTTTAGTTAGTTAGTTTAATATCTTTATTATGTAGCCCATACCCATCCTGTGGGCGGTAGTCAAAAGATTACAGAGGTACATAATGGGTCTATGGACTGGGCCCCAAAGTTTTGATAGTTGAGCAAGGTAATGAACTCCAGGTATATCTGGTTACAATCATGACAAGTTACAAAGATATTTACAGATTACATAGGTACATAATGGGTCCAGCGACTGGGCCCTGATAGTACGTCTTTAAATAGTTGAATGACAGATTTATCATTATGGCGTGAAGCAATAGAACGAAAACATTTTAAATTAAGCAGATTCGTGAAATATACCTGTACACTCCCTTTTCTTCAGTTGAGTAATAGAATCCCTCTGGAGGTGCAGTGTGAGGGATAAACACTCAAGTGGTGGAAGACCAACACTCGACACACTCACAGTCCTCTGTTCAATACACTGGTCCCTGAGTCCTGGCAAACTAATATACAGCGTGTAGAGATAACGTAGTGTTACAGAAATATTCTCCAATCATCTTCTGATATGGTATTTGTTTTACAATTGCTGATTAAGTCTTCATGTGTAGATCAAGTAGAGATGGAAACCTTACGTATATTAATTAAGGCAAGAAATAAAAACAGTTCTGTTCAAGGTGAATTGATTAAATCAGCGTGACTAAGCTTTGTACTGTAGATAACCTCTTCTCCGACGCTTATGTCAATCAGCATCTAAACTTACTTAAAGATATACGAGTTGCAGTTTGCAACATGTGTCTTATAATGCGGAAATAGGTATACTACTATTACTACTACTAATAATATTAATAATAATAATAACAATCTTTATTTCTACAAGTACATGGTAAAACTAATACAGACCTAGTTGACATCACTGACATACTATATAGAAACCCCCCTTGTTATACCTGGAGTATACCTGGTGGGAATTTCGGGGGTCAACGCCCCCGCAGCCAGGTCCGTGACCAGACATTGTGATGGATCAGGGCCTGATCGACCAGGTTGTTACTGCTGGCCGCACATAAACCAACGTACGAGCCTCAGCCCAGCTCGTAAGGTACTGAATTTAGGTGCCTGTCCAGCGCCTTGAAGACAGCCAGGGGTCTATTGGCAATCCCCATTACGTATGCTGGGATTCACTTAAACAGTCTTGGGCCCCTGACAACATGTTGTCTCTTAGCATACTCGTGGCGCCCCTGCTTTTCATTGGGGGAATGTTGCATCTCCTGCCGAGCCTTTTGCTTTCTTAGGGAGTGATTTTCGTTTGCAGATTTGGGACTAGTTTCTCTAGGATTTTCCAAGTGAATATTATAATGTGTCTCTCACCTGCTTTCCAGGGAGTACAAATCAAGGGACTTCAGCCGTTTCCAGTAATTTACATGCTTTATCGAACTTATACAAGCTGTAAAGGCTCTCTGTATATTCTCAAGGTTCGCAATTTCGCCTGCTTTGAAGGGAGCAGTTAGTGTACAGCAACAATCCAGCAGAGAGAGAACAAGCGATTTGAAAAAAAGTCATTATGGGTTTGGCATCTCTGGTTCTGAAGGTTCTCATTATCCATCCTATCATTTTCTTAGCAGATGTGGTAGATACATCGTGGTGTCTTTTAAAGTGAGATTCTCTGACATTATCACTCCCAGATTAGAATTTGTTTTATACTCCGATATGTAGAGTATTTCAGGCAACTAAATTAAGTTAATCTTGTTCCCCAGGATGCGATCCAAAACTAAGTCATCTAACACATAGGTACCTACTTTCCGCTAGATGAACAATGGCAGCAGGTGTAACGAAACATGCCCAACTCTTCACCAGTTCTGGGATCGATCCCGGACCCTCAGTGTGTGAATTGAGGACGCTATCAATCACATTTAAAAGATCTAGGAGGTTGGAGTTACCATTATCATACACTGATAAAGCTTGAGGTCAATACGTCGGACCTTGAATGTGAAGATCAGACTCCTGAAAGAAAGATCAGTACATCGTTAGTGTATTGTAAAGCTGTAACTCAAGAGGCACAAAAGTTGGAACTCAAACCATGTCCAGCAACGCTAAAATTGGATATCAACTGAATGAATGATTGTAAAGATATTTAATATTTTATATCACTGCACTGTAGCAAAGGATTTTTTTACACATTAATTTTATTGGGTAAGAGCTGTTATCCCACATCAGCTCACGTTCCTGCTGTTTGTCAAACTGGCAAAACACCATTATATATTAAAATCTTATCAGACTGAGCTCTGCTTACAAACACTAAATAGATATCCAGCCACTCACCAGTACTATTACAAACACTGATAGCGGCCACATTGCCACTCAACACTACTTACTTTTTTTTTATATTTTATTTAAAAAGTACATCACAGTACATAAAAAACAAACAGCCTTATCCGTCAACAGATGTAATAAACTTTCCATGGCCATATAATACCACATACAAATATAAAAATTATACATCATGTAACAAATAGTATCTAATGAAAACACAAACAATTACCAAATTAGGGAAAGTATTGATACATACTTCCGTACAAACTACGTTAACAGTAAAACCAGATATTCTTTACTATGACTTAAGTCATGAGGTACTAACTCAAAAGAGCACAGTATGTTTCATACCGTAACCTTGCGAACTAAGGGAGCGGTCAGGTTCACGCGCGCGGAGCAAAAAAAAATTCGAAAAAATATGAAAATGGAGTTATTGTTACCAAAAAAATAGCTGAACTTTCTGGCTACACTGTGGTATAATTATTATCCTTGTACGATGTTTCTAAAAGGAATTACAGCCATTTATAACAGGCATGGTGACAGTGCGTAAGAAGCGCTGACTCGGCTTTGTTTACGTTTTTTCCCCGTGTTATTTTTATCGTTTTCTTATATCTTTATGTCTAATATAATACAAATTCACTGTCTGAGATCATGCCCGAGCGGGCGGAGCTAATATGGTCAAGTAACCAGTCAGGTACCCTTGGTATAGTACCCAAAATGGCCGACACCTCCAGCCAACAAAATATTCCATAAATTTATTTTATTTTTTTTTATTTATTTATTTATAATTTGAGCACACTTACAGAGGTACAAAAAAAAAAAATACAGATAAGAGCAGTATGCCAAAGCCACTTATACTATGCATAGCATTACGGGCTGGCTTAAAATTAACTTAAGATTAACTTAAGATTAACTTAAGATTAACCAGCCAACAAAATATTCCATAAATATTCCATACCCACGCTAATATCAATTATAAGGCTTATTTATCTATCACAATTGATCTATTATGACATAATGCAATATAATAATAGCATATAAACATAAAAAGCACACCGTAAAAAATAATATATAGCATAATATGATGCCCGAGAGGAAAAAATTTCTATCGGTGCATCCCCTGAAGTTTCGTATCTTATACAAGTGATGAGAGAAAACGGATTAACAATGGTTAACTGTAATAAACACTCGTAGGTCACGCAAAAAGTGTAAAGTAAAGCGAATTTTTCGGGGAAAAAAATTATTTCCCGGGCAGCTGGGGTGCCGCGCGCTTCGGCCTATATCTCGAAAGTAACTTATTTACCTATTTAGGGACAATCCATCTTTATGATTGAATTGACTTGATTTTCACAACAAACATAGGAGAATGATTGCTTTACAAGGTGGAGTGTACCTTTCTGAACTATCCCAAATATTTTTAGATTTATGTGGGCAACAAGACCGACATCTTCCAATATGTCAAAAAAGTTATGAAACTTATTTTTTTTTAGCATGAAGATAAGGTTTATTTTAGAATAGGTACACTTACAGTGATGGAATTAGAGGTGTTCTATCAGCAGCAAGTGTCAAAACCACTTTTCCAAGTACCACTGAGAAGGACTCCCCTGCCAAATGCAATTTTTCGTAAATTTTGCATATTTCATTTCCTTTTTGGCCGATATAATTGAAACTTCAGCACAGGATATTTGATATAAGCTTCTAATAGTACACCAAAAATGAACGTAATCGGTTGAAAAATAAAGAAGTCGATATGTTTCACCTGCCCGCTCCCTAAACCTCCCCCTACCCCAGACAGAAGCCCCCCATCCTTTATCTGAGAAGTACAATATAAAATTAGAACCACAAGAGTGCACAGTAAATAAAGTTAACCCTAACACATCTATATATGCTATCCAAAAGTATGAATTGTACAACACGTAAGAATATGAAGCATACACTACAGTGGTACATCTGTTCCTAAAATCTTAAAATGGTAAAGGTTATAACTGCCTCATGGCTTACAAAACAAACTGCAAATGCAATAATTTTTTTTTATTTAAAAATGCATTACAATACCTTAAAAATAAAGATTAAAAGAACCCCTTATCGACTCCACCACAGAAAATATAAATTTTTCATTTCCTAAATACACACTGCAGGTTCATCTTTGTGCTGTCACAAAATATCCCCCATCACCTATGTTTTTTATCTCTTTACTCGAATGCCAAAACCCAGATTATCCATTTCATCAATCAAAAATTATATTACAATAAGTATGGTTATTTCAATTATACTTATCACCCGACTAATAGGTGTACATTGTCATTACAGAGAATTCCATGAAAATTACTTAGGAATTAATACAAATATTGACAATCCTCTCAATCCTTCCCGTCCTCTACGTACAGTGTACACACATTCAAGTACATGTCGTGATGATCCAATCATAATTAAATTACCCCCCCCCCCTTTTCCCCAGTGCAAAATCAAGTGCCACTTGCACTAGGCGTCACAATATCTTACATTTGTTTACTTAACTAACAGTTTTTAGTTTAATATGTTTATTATGCACCCCATACCCATCCTGTGGGCGGTAGTCAAAAGATTACAGAGGTACATAATTGGTCCAGGGACTGGACTCCAAAGTTTTGATAGCTGAGCAAGTTACAGAGGTAATGAACTCACAATTTACAAAGGTAATGAACTCACAATTTACAAAGGTAATGAACTCACAATTTACAAAGGTAATGAACTCCAGGCAAGTCTGGTCACTATCATAAGTTACAAAGGTATTTACAGATTACAGAGGTACGTAATGGGTCCAGGGACTGGGCCCCCAAAGTTTTGATAGCTGAACTAGGTACAAAGGTAATGAGCTCACAAGTTACAAAGGTAATGAATTCTGTAGAATGGTTACTTACGTTTATACATGGCTACAATCATGAACAAATTATAGAGTAATGAGCAATTCACACTTCCACACCCGGTCACTACTGTAATGAGTTATTGGTGCAAATATTGATTGTTGAGTCACACACACCACACACACACACACACACACACACACACACACACACACACACACACACACACACACACACACACACACACACACACACACACACACACACGCACTTTAGTTTAATATCTTTATTATGCACCACATACCCATCCTGTGGGCGGTAG